TTTTCCCAAAATTGTATCTCTCGTTACACCTTGTGTAAAACCTAGGCTGTCAGATATGTAGCAACACGGTGTGGGGGAAATGTGATTAAAGATTTTAAGATGAGATATAGGGGCCATGAACACCAGGTGGAGAGAAAGAATGAAAATCCCAGTTCTTTATGTAATCTGTCTGTGTAGAAAGTGGGAAAGAATAAAGAGGGAGAGGAGAGGATTGTGGAGTCTGCAAGCTGGGAATGACAAGACATAACTCATCTGTGGATATTTTTTATGAGCTGCTTTTTATGAAGTCCCACGAGGAGCTGTCACTAAAATACTACAGACACACCATACTAATATTTTGTGCAGACAAAGGGAAAAAAGAGATATGTGCATTGCATACAAAAAGGTGAAAAAAATGTAAGCTACACTGTTTTATACATGTGGATGTGCAGCGGTTCCATTGGCCACTTGAGTCAGGTGGAAGTCAGGTGGAAAGATTTCTACTTGTACAGATGTATGTCATATATATACACATTTTTTAATCTGATAAATCACAGTGTACATCTGGATTAATCCCAATTTAATCATGATTCATCATGAATGTAATAAATCCTGATTAATCAAGATAAATCAAACTTCCTTCTCTTTCTTGTTTATGTTTTAATTTCATAGATCATTTTTGGTTCCATTGTTAGATCTTGTATGCTAAATTAGCTCATTCTGTTTTCCATTTATTATTAGTTTTTTTTTAGCACTTTCTCCCCACATTCTAATCGGGCCAGCATTATGTGAACAGCAGCAGATAATTGTAGCCCACCACATCAGCCCTGACTGTGTAATTGGGTAACGTTTTCCTTCTGCCAAACAATGTGAAAAGAGAAAGGAACACCAGGTTGCTGCAGCCTTTCTAAAACAGAATACTGAAGTTCACATAAGACGTCTGTCTTCCCTCCGACAAAAAGAAGAAATCGGAGCACTACATCAACATGGAGAAGAGACTATCATGTCTGTATTAAACAGTTTGAACAAATAAATAAATACAAATATATATACTGTATATATGTATATATATATGTGTCAGGACTGGTGTACATTAGCCATTCATAGTGTAAACTACTAAACTAAAATACAATGCAAAACAATACTGGGCTGCTGTAAAGGCTGGCTATTGGAAAGTCTTTTGTAAATATACATCACTGAGATGAATAAAGATGAGCTAAATGGAATTAAAAAAAAAGCTGAACGGAGCTTTTATTTTTTGTTGTTTGTGAGCTTGAAAAAAATATTTCAGATGAAAAAAAAGATGTAGGAGTAAATACATAACACTGTTGTTTTTCCTTTCCTGTTTGGATATTTATGTCACAGTCAGTCAGGGTACCACTGAATCTCATTTTTATACAACCTACTGTAGGTATCACTGTCCAGAGTGTACCCACTTGTCTTATAACTACTGGTTCTTGCTCCAGCTTTCCTGCAACACTGACAAGGATCAAAGGGTAAAAAATGAATGACTGAATTCTGGGAACCTCCATAAGTGTTTTCAAGCAATTTACAATTCAGATAATTTACTTTTTTAGAATAATATTATAAATGTTAGATCAATTCTTTAATTCAATGTTGTTTCTGCAAATATAGATCACTGTAATAATACATGAATCTGCTATTAATCAAGTGTGAAAGACACCAAATCTGAGTGAAAAGATTTTTCATGAATCTGCTATTAATCAAGTGTGAATGAAACCAAATCTATGACTTCCTCCCTGTATTTTAATTCATCTTCTCCCGTTTTCAGTTCCAGCACTGTAGTGCCATCTGTGAATTTGTCATTTCTGTCACCACACATGCGTCTCACCCACAACAGCTACTGCTAAAGGCTAACAAGTAAAACAACAAATCAACCCCTTCCAATTTTTTAAGGTGGACATAATAATCAAAACCATGGTCACTATGATTATCCCAGTTAATGATGATTTTAAAAGGAAATACAACAGGGGTCCTTGAGAGACTCTACAGGAGCGCTGTGCAAAAGTTAACATTGTACAACAGAGGAAGTCAATCTTTCAATGTGTTACTCCATTAGAGTCAATAATGAGGTTGAGTCACTGGCATTGAAAATTAAACCACACAGCACCGTGAACTCGTCTCATGTGGAGGATAAGATTTTCAAACTACAGTTTGTCATTCAGCTGAAGTTCAGGGATCAAGGACAGTTTTAAAACTTTGGAAGTACCCAAACATTAGGAAATGTACAACCTCCTTGACTGATGCAAGTCAGTATCTTCCCACCTGAAACTTAAATACAGTTCTACTATTGCTGATCATCATTTGAAGGCACTCTTGAGGCTGTCTATGAGCTACTGTCGGACTACGCAACCTTCCATTCAGTGCTAGTCATCAGTGTTAGGTAATGGCCAAAGATGTATTGAATTGCAGCATGTCATTAGGCTTATGCAGTGATGCAAGTTACAGTGGACTAAAAAGAAGCACACAAGTGCAAAAACTAAACCCTTGGCACTTGTTCAGATCTTTCAGTAAAAGCATAAAAATTAAAGGAAGAAAGTGGAACATGAACTCCTCGTCACTGTGACACAGCTCACCACTCCACACAACCAAATGTGACCTCTGTTTTTAACCCATCACCACAGTGAACAGTGGCAGCTTTAAGAACCAGGGAGCAGTGAGTGGGGGCGGAGCCATGACAGAGCACCTCAGTGGGAACTTGGCAGCTGGTGGACTCGAATCTGAAACCTTCCGGACTCAATTCTGCTTCCTTAACCACCAAGCTACCACTGCACTTTAAATACTTAAATGAAATGCTGTATTTAATGAGCCTGTGTTGGAGTGTTTCGTAGCTAAAATCCGTGCACCGTGTACAAACCCTAACAGTGTACTGAACATCACACTATGTGGCAGATCGTGACTCATTCCTTGGCCCTAAGTGTTATGTACAACACAATGGCCAGAATAACTTCATAGTGTGAAACTGCTTTGGGCTGTTCTCTAAATATTTAATAGACAAAGCAGCTCACCTACTGGCAGTTTTCCCAGATCAGGAGCTATGAGAATTCCAACATTTCAGTCCCCTAAGCGACCGTAGTCCGAAAGCTGCAGGTTTGCTCTGGAAAGCACTAAGTGGAATAGATGAGGCGATGTAAACGGCCTGCTTGTGAAACACTACTTTGGGAGTGAGAGGCCATCGCGCCAACTCATCTTTAAAATGTGGTTTAGCATTACCCATTAGAAACTAAAACATACAGGGCAGATGTGTCATCATTACACCAGGAAAAAATCCATACTGCGTGCAGTACACACACAGTAAGTGCAGGGTACAGCGTGTTATATACTGTATATACAATTTCACAGTGGACAATCGGGGATATGATTATTTAATAACAATTACTCCAATTTAAAAAAGGAACCCGTTCTAAGGCTAATCACAAGCAACAAAAAAGAGCAACTGAATTTATATTGTGTGATTTAATAATTATAGTTTGTTGTTTTTCTTGTCATTTGTTATGTAAAATGTGAATGTGTAATCTGAAATAACTCTGCTTTGATTGTAGTGTAGTTTGTCAAATATTCTAAGACTGGAAGTTAGAATAGTATAAACAAATTTAGGAAACACTGACACTGTAGGTGATTGTAACATGAACAGGAGTTTGGCCAGATTTTTAATAATATTATTATAAAAACTGCTAAAGCACAAAACATCTGCAAAATGTAACCATTAACACAGTTGACTTGGGTAAACAAAAGAAGGACCGGCTCATTGTTTGATGCTGACGCTGCAGCAGCAGCCCTGTTTCGCCTCATTTAAATTGGATCATCTGGTTCAATTAAAATCCATCAGCCCATCAGGACACGCCATCTAAAGTACCACACCACACGACATGTTCATGTCAGAGTGCCAAGAGTTTCACACCTAATGTTAGCTTTTTTTTAAAAAAAAGAAAAAGAAAAAACACAAATTCTTCCTACAATGTTAGAACTAACCCATGTCTGGCGTGGTCTTAGGCAACCACCCTACAGCAGTGCTTTAAATGAGAGCGTCATCTTTTGACACTACAAAGATATTTTCCTCTGGCGGAATGTTGTTGCAGTTTTGAAAACAACCCCCTTACCTGTGAGGCATTCACTTGGCATCCAACAATATATTAAAAAAAGAAAAGCATGTGAGAAAAAGGGGAGTCATTTTCTTAAATAGTTAAATAAGCAGTGTTCTGATCTTAATATCATGTCTTGTTTGAGAGCCAATTTTTGCACCTTTTAAATATTTCCCCACAGCTGCATCCCATATCTCTTGTTTTGCTCTCCTTTTGTCTTGCTTTCTCCCGGGAATTATTTCCCCACCTCATGACAAAAAGAAAAGAAAGAAAACATCCAGTTCAATTTTAAAATAAAATGTTGTAAAAATGAAATATGTTGTGAGGAAGAGGAAAAGCAGACAAAAAGACCCGACATTAGAGTCTGTTCAAACCAGACTACAGCTTCACATGTGCCCCTGCTGTGAGTACTGTATGTTCTTAACAATACACATAACATCACACCCACGATCTGCGACTACCATTAGAACTGCACATAGACACATGTTGAACTTCATTGTTTGCAATCCAAGTATTAATCCTGTTAATCAGGCCTGGGTATCACCAGGTCCCTTGCGATATGAAACTTTCACAATATTTTGCTCACACGATAACTATAACATCACGAAACATCAATTCTGAGATAATTCATTTTTTGCAATAAATTTCATCCAGAATACATCAGGATACCTGTGTCACTAAAGACATCCAAAATGAATCGACCGCACAGAATCCATTTAACATGAATTACAAAATATTGTCAATCAATTTCATGAATGACATGCCATTCATCTGCATATATATATATATATATACAGTATTATTTTTTTGAACATTCCTACTGTTAGTCCATAGCTTGGACCAGAATTTGTTTTAGGAAACTGTTGTTAAAACAGCAAGCAAAGGAAACAATTTCACAACAAGAGGACACTGTCTTACCCTGTGATTGGTGGAAGTGTATCGGTGGAGAAGAGAGCTAGCGGTGGTTTGTCTCTCTCAATGAGCCATATGGTGTATTGGCCGCTCTGCTTTGGGTGAAGGAATAGAGCTAGGTCCAGGCCACATGGAATCTGGCCTCCCCAAAGCCAAGGACTTAGAACCCAGGGTCCACCAAAGGCTGAACTGTTCACCCAGAGGAACTGACCTGAAAAACAAAAAACAGAAAGACAGAAAAGTTAAAAAGAATTCACTAGCCCTGGGAGTGTTTGTCTTGATCTTGTATATACACGCGCGGACAGGAGGAGAAAATAAGAAAGTCATTAAGGCTGTTTGTATGGTGTGTACAAAGGTCAGATGAGTGATGGGCTAGAGAATAAGTGGTTTTGTCAGGCAATCTCTGAGACTAGCAATTCACAGATATGCATGAAATTGAAAGTGTTTTTGGAAAATGCAGTCTATGACATTTTACTAACACACACACACACACACACACAAACGTTCCTTTTGAAAACCTTGTGCACATCAAATAAATATTTCAACTGTTGATATGTGTTTTTGTCTGTTGTGGTTGGAGGGATGATGAGTGGATGGATTCTCTGTTTAAGAAAATATTGTAACCTTTCACCTACAACAGAGAGTAATGGAGGAATATTGCAATTAGTGTGTGTGTGTGTGTGTTTCTGAGTGTAAGATTGTACACCTCCAGCATCATAAAGGACATGAATGTTTATAAAGTGAAACTGTTGGGAGACAGGAAACAGAGGGAGAGGAGATTGTTGCATGCTTAAATAAATAACATGTGATTTATTAACACATTTCCAGATTAAGAGTTTTCCATAATCGGAAAATAAATTTCACAGAACAGAATCAAACCATACCAAATAACGTTCAGAGATAGTATACCAAATATTTGGGTTGTTTTTATCCAACATGTATCCTAATTATATGAATCTCAACAACAGATGGGTATGTAGTGTCAGGCTAGCTCAAAGTCTTCCCTGGGCCCAGGACGACATCATCTCAGACGCTCCCCATCCCACACTCGCCCCCGCAACTGGATCTCTGCCTCTCCATAATTTAATGAGGGCACAGTTCTAGGCCCCCCTCTATCATGGGCCCGGGAAAGCAGACCCGTTTGTCCCCGTCTATCTGCTAGTGGTGCAGATGGTTCACAAACGGTGTCCATTAACAGAAATGAATGAGAAGCTGGTGGGGAAAGAAAAAAAACCCCAAAAAAAACCATCATGTGGCCAGAGAGTAGAGGGTTTATATCTGCAGAGAAATTAATCAGCCTCCATTGGCCAGTCAAAGGAGAGGTTGGCGTACCCTCCCCTTTGACTGTGTCACTCTATTTTGTTGCCATTAGTGCGCTGCAGGAAATCTGCTGCACACAGGCTGCCAAGTTTTTGGCCTTTGGAAAGAGCTCTTCAGTAACAAGGCTGGGCCAAAAGGTGTTAATACTTGACTCAGTGACATCAGCGATCACCCTTCTTCCTTCAGCCACTTCTCAAATGAAGACATTTAAGCTTCAAAGCATTAACACTTCTATCCTTTAACCAAGCTCGATGCTATTTCTGAGCTGTCTGCTATAGCCTGACTGCATTTATGGCCTCCTTCAGAAGCTTTTGTAAATGGTTTCATAAGCACTTCAGGCTTTGGGATTAGCTGTCTGAAATGCTCTGATTTGGGCTGTCAGGAGAGCTAATGGTTACAACACTCATTTTCATTTTTAAGATGGAGATGCTATGTGACTAAAAAGACCATTAGAGTTCACTCATGTTGCAACGGGTGTACGTACATAAGAAAGGTCAGTCAGTCTGTGATAATAATAAAAAAAGTGCTGCCACCTCTGTTTTCTCTGTTTTTGTCAGGTTCAGATTCTTCTCTGCCATTTTTCACTGACACTGATGTCTAAACAGCTTCCTGCAGCAACATCTCAACTCTCTCCTTTTCTCCTCCCCCTAACTGCTCTTTCTCCTCTTTTTCATTGCTCATCTTCTTTGTAACTTTCAGGATGAATTATTGGCCTTCTTTCTGCTCTGTTATTCTCTCAGAGAATTTAGCTGACCTCTCTCCTGGATCTGCTGCATCAAGGAGCTGCAGTAGCGGCTGTTTCAACTTCATAGTTTATTATTATTTGCTGTAGTCTAAACAGTTTTTTTCTACAGACTTAAAGGTGCTACCCTGTTTCTGCCCTCTGTTCTCTATCCCAAGGGAGGTCTCATATATGTTTAGTATTTCTAGGGTTCAACCTCTGCTTTTTAGCCAACATGTTTCGTAAAGAGTCCAGTTTCTTTTTTTTTTATTGTTGTCTTCTTGAAGTCTCAGAAATTCCCTCTGAACGTCTCTAACCTCCACCCTTAATTTGACCCTCTGTTTTTGACTTCTTTTGACACTTGTCTATCCTCTCCTCTGTCAACCACCAGAAGCTGCCACAAGGACCTGATTCTTTCTTCATCCTCCTCCTCTTGCTTTTATTTTTTCAGCTCCTTCAGAAATAGAATCTACATTTTGGAACTGATTCACTCACTTCTCCACCACCTCATGATTAGCGTTCTTTTTACTCACATTTTTTCTCTGTTTCATTTTAGTTCATTTCATTTTTTTCAAATTAGAACACAATAACTGATTTAGAGTAAAATGCTAATACAATTATCTATTAATCTTTATATTAATCGCTATCGGCAAAATACCATAAATAATTGGGGTTACTTTTTTTTCCCATAGCACAACCCTAGATTCACATCTAGGAGTACAAAGAAACTCAGATAAACAGTAAACTCATATTAGTCAAGTTCACCAGAAATGTAGTAATATCCTTTATTACCCTGAGTTGTTTACAATAATTCATTCAAGTACTCAAATTCAATTGTCGATAGGAACAATATTTCTTCAAATGTAATTAAAGGGATGAAAATAAACAATGAAATGTTCAGACATGTTTATATAAAGGTATTACAAAACACCAGAGTCTGTTGATTAAATGACAAGGTAATGTTTTTCTTACAATTAAATCACAGCTATTTCAGCCACTTTTCCATTCTAAGAAAAATCAACAAAGAAATTAATCTCACCATCTTCACAATAAACTAACGAAGTGAGATACCTTGGCTGAAAAGCTTACCTGCAGCTACGTTTACTTACATGCTTAACTGTCTGCCTACCTACGCACCTACATATCTATTCATCCATCCATCATTGACCAAAACCCAACATGTATATTTGCTAATCATGATAATTGTTGTTTATTGTTTTATGATACACCATTTATACAAACCAAGAATAATGAATCATTACTATACAGTACACTACTGTACTCTACCAAGTCTGGGTTTACAGTGTGTAGCTTATTGAGTGATAGTACAGTTGCTTCAAGGTACAGCTACGACTTATGTCAGTTCTCTTAAATATAGAAAAGACATCACAATAGGAAGCCATTTATACAAACCTAGGGCCAACATCACTGACTACATATCAAAATACATTTTCTGTATACGTTTGAATTCTGTCAGCCATTTTTTCTCCTAATGGGCTTTCACATAAAAGTAAATGTAGATCTTTTGTTCAATAAAGCTACAAAGTAAAGGCGAATGTGCTTAGATGTTCAAAAACTGTACACGGTGTTTGCATCACTAACAAAAAGCAGGTGAAAAAAACTTTCATTTTCAACATGTTGTTATGTCAACCAAATACCAGCTGTCATTCAAACTGAGCCCTCAGTGAAACTCATTTACCTAAGAGGACATGTCAGTGATATCAGTCTTTTTTTGTGTCACTAAAGAAAAAACAGACATAGATGAATGTGGTTGATTAAAAAAAAAATCAATGTGCTACTTTTGCTGCTGTGTTACCTTTAACACCCTTTATGCAGAAGTCAACAACAAGCTGACATTATCCTACCATTTTTTAAATCACTGCTGTCACTAACACAAAGAGACCACCAGTTAAGTTAAGGAAATTTCCATTTCTATTCCACCTCATTCCGGAAACCATGAGAAAAATAGGAACTCCTAAAATAGTTTTATAAAAGGAACTGTTCTTTATCCTTGGTGCACAAATGATGTTAATGTGAATAAACGAAAAACTAGTGAATAAACTGAAAACAAAAAATAAAAAACTTAAAACATAAAAAATATCTCACCAGCCATATGAGATCCATAAATTGTCGACACAGACAATGGGCATTTTTATATATAACAGACATAACTTGTGTTTGTGCTAATAATTTTATTATACCTCTGGGAGAACATATTCACATGCTCCATTCTTATATCCTGTACATTCTATTCTTCCAGAACTAAATTATTTAAAGAATATAGCCAGTACAGCCCTAGATCAGATTTAGTACAGCTTCCATTTAGTTAAAGGAAAAAAACTGGGTCCACATAAAATGTAGAGTATTTTTTCAACAAATGTGTTCCAGATTTAAACAACTAGCACCTCCACACAAGTTAGGGCAAGACTAGAATTTTTTTATCAATGCGATACCAATTACTCTTTTTGATAACAATACCAACATTGATATGTCAGTTGTCACTTGTGCAGCGGTATCAATATATCGACACAACTAAATATATACAACTATAAGATCACTCCCTACATTACTCCACACTTACACACAATGGTAGATCACGGAATCAATGTGTGTTGGGAATAAAATCTGTGGCAAAGACATGGTTTTTCATAAAAATATAACCTGTAACTGACATCTCCTGACAGATGTATTCTGCAGCCACAGGTAAGAGCTACCAGAACAAAAAAGAACAATCTGTTCAACTCATTGTGGCTACACAATGTTTTTTAACCATTCATATTTTAATACCTGTTTGAATACATTTAACTTAAAATATAAATATGCTATTTTCACAATTAAATTTAAATTTCCAAAAATTTAAATTAGGGATGGCTCGATCCGATATCCAGAATTGGTATCGGTCCAATATTGGTCAAAATTTCAGGATCAAACATTAAAAAAAAAAAAAAAAACTGCAACCTGTGGCATACTGGAGGAGACCAGAAGGTATCAGACTGATACTGGTTTTAGTAAATACTTCAAGCTATGGTAAGTGGTCAAGGCACTTTGTATCAAGCCAATCCTAAAGAGTGGGGGGTGTTCTGGTGATGTGGCTGATTATGTGGCCTTCCTAATGTAAAGAACAGTGATATTATAACTGCAGAAAGAGAGAGAGTGAGAGAGAGAGGGTA